CAAAATATTTTGCAAACAATATAGTCTGATAGAGCAAAGAATTCTGAGCAGAATACAATATCTCCCGGCTGTCTATAACATCTTTTCACGGGAATACTTTAGTGATTTTCACGCCCTTTGTAGCCATTCGTAAATCGACTACAGTGGGTGAACAGGTATAGTAGACAGCCGGGAGATATTGTATTCTGCTCAGAATTCTTTGCTCTATCAGACTATATTGTTTGCAAAATATTTTGATCAAAATTCAAAGACTTGGTATTCTAGCGGTCGGGTCTTCCAGAAACCCTATTATCAAGTTTTCTCATAGAACGGCGATATGCACCTCATCCGACAGAAAAATCTTCGGGCTATTCAAAACAGTATTCCGATTTGTTTCAGCTTTTACTGAAAAATAAAAAGAGTTCTTGTGATCATGATACACTGTACTGCATATATACCACCCAAACGCTTCTTTTCCATATATTTAACGACTAGCCCAACCTGTCTAGATATTCTGACTAGCTCAGTTTGTAGAGGCTTTCATAGGCTATCCAATGGTATTCTTTTAAAAAATATTTAGTTTCTCATTAGGACAGAAAAATGACTAAACAAGTGTTCCACAGGCGTTTTCCGGACGTCCAACGCGTTTTTTTGCATGTTCCTGATGACCGGCCCGACCGACCTCGATTGTCTGACTAGCTCAGTTTGTAGAGAATTTCAAGGGCTATCCAACAGTATAGTTTGAAAAATATATGTGAAGAAACGAAAACGTTATCGAAAAACGGCCTGAACGATTTTCGGCGAAAACGGTTAAATTTTAGTAAAATTCAAATATCTCAAGGACGAAAAAAATTTTTAAAAAAAGCGATTCATACTTTTTTTTGACGTTTCAAGGCGAATCGAATGGCGTATGAAACTTGGCTTCATCTTTTAACCAAAGAGCTGCGATAGGTTTGCAAGATGAGGGTCTCGAAACCGAAGATTTATCGGTCCCGTTTCGCGCCGAGCAAATATTTTTGGTGTTGAACCTTCAAATACAGTTTTCTAGATGCAGTTTTCAGAGGTGAATAAGAAAAACATGGTTTCACGGCTTCGAAAGGAGGCGGAACCAAGTTATTCAGTTTTTAAAAAAAGTTAATGCTTTTTCGAAAAAAAAGATCGTTCTAGTTTTTTGAATTTTTTTCACTGATAATGTGAACTGGGAAGACTAAAGACCAGATACTCTTGATCCGCGTTAAATTCCCTATCGAATGTTGTATGATTAAGCCAACAATAAAATAGTGCTATAATTTTGAATTTGGAGCACCTTATCGTACCATGAAGTTTCTATACCTGAAATCGATGCACCCGCTGAACAGCTGCATATGGGGACGAACATTTCATACCATGAGCTATTCTCGTTGAGCTCTACAAAATGGCATAGGTCTCTACTCAAACGGCGCGTGGCACCTGGGAACGTTAATTTTACAAGCGCTTTGTACCTAGTTACTAGAGACTCACACAGAATTCATTTCTGAAAGAATCAAAAGAAGATATCACGACCGGTTTCGACCTTTTTCAAGGATCCGTCAGGTAGTTTCCTTCGAGAAAGACAGAGTTAAGGCACGACAAGCAACGCAAGTCCGTCACACTACATGAGGGTGTTACTATCCCGTGTTCTTACCGAACAAAGAACAATATCTTTCACACGACGAGAACGAAGCACGATATCACTGTACAATGGACATGTTCTGCTTCTCTACATTAAGTATTCCTTTTCATTCTATTAGAAATGATTCATCCCTTTAAACTTGAACTGTAACTAGTAACTTTTACTCGACAGCCGTTGAGATAAATGTGAAAAACACTATACTTATGGCTCGATCTTGGGAAGTGGTCATCCATCTTCTTACTAACCGTTGTTTTGACACAATAGAGAAAGCCATTACGTGACAATTCTGTACTTTATAGTGACTAACTTCATAATATATACATGGTTTGATCTTCAGAAGTGGTCACCCATCCTCTTACTAGTCATGCTCGTTGCATATCTCCGACAAAAATTAAAGTTCATCTACAGTTAAGGAAAAGTGCTTTTTCGTATTCAGCACATTTGATAACCTGAAAAATTTTCTATTTTTAGCGAGGGGTACCGACAAAAAGTTAAGAAAAATTTTCGAAATTTTATAATTTTATCATGGGGATTTTTCTGCGGCAATTTGTTTGAAACTTTTTCTTAACTTTTTGTCGGTACCCCTCGTTAAAAATGAAAATTTTTCAGGTTATCAAGTGTGCTGAATACGAAAAAGCACTTTTCTTTAACTCTAAACAAACTTTAATTGTTTTTTTATCGGTGATATGGATGCAACAAAACATCGTCGAAATTTCAAATTTACCTAAATACAAAGCGATGTATGTCGATGTATGCTCACTCAAATTCACCGGACATATTGGCCTGAAATTTTTAGCCCGATCATACACCGATGAGACCTACCGATAGTAAAATTTTCAGCTTGGTTGGTTGATATCAATTTTTTGGCTGTTGAAAAATGGTTTTCAGTTTGTAGTAGTTCATTGTTTTCTAGGTGTTTTCTTCGTATCAGTGAATGACAACTACTATGCAGTGCAAAAACGAAACACCTCATCCAGGATTCGAACCTGGGTTCTTTCTCGTAATGAACGGTTGGCGTACCATTAGGCTAAAGAGACGGTATTCGCGTCTGGTCTCAGTCGGTCTTATGTAGTACTTTATCTTTACTCGTCTAATTTGTTTTTGGCGATTCATCCCATATGCCAGAAGTAGCACTTAATCAGAGCTTTGTCGGAAGATAGATGCTATCTCTGAACAGTCTGGCAATGTATTTCTAACAAGACAGAGTTCAGATCTACCAAGATCTTGCTTTGTTTTTCGTCGGTACCGACTTTTTATTCCCTTGCTAATAAACAACGACTACAAATAACAACAGATTTACTCTGCACCGTCCGTCCAATCATTCAAAAATATCATTCTGCGCGCCATTTGAGAATCCCATACGTGCATTGTAGGTTGGCATTTTGGGTGGGTTGTGCACATTATTCCCATCTAATTGTTGGTAGAAGATCATTTGCTTTGCTCCCTTTACACACTTTGATTGATCATCTTCACAATAGACTGGTGGTTTGGCAACCGCCAGTTTTCTGGTAGAAGTTGAGCCGGTGACGATACATTTATGGCCTTGCATATACATGTTGGGCTGTCCACATCCCATTGGAATCCATCTAGTATCAAGAAAAAGAAAATATATTAGAAGCTGAATTATAAAACGGAAAAAAACGTTTAAAGAGAGCGAAAAAATTAAAAATAATTAGAAACGCGCTGCCGATTTAAAATTATAAAAAGGTTTACTCACCCCCATGCACATGTACAACCACCTGCAGGACAGGGAGGTAAATCTTTTGGCACACTGTACGAGGTCAATCTTTGCCAGGGTGTATGGTATGATACAGTGAAGACGACCAAATTTTCCGGTGTGACTTTATCAATGCTGTTCTGATAGGAGATAGCAAAAACTGTTCCTGGAGCTGAGGTTTGATCAAAAGTGTGTAAATTCGGATCGACAACACATCCTTCACCGCTTCGTATAGGTTCTTGGTGCCCACCAAAATAGCCAGCGAAATTTGGATTGTGACCAAAGGTCGTGAAAGCACGATTGGTAGCAATTTCAACAGTGAAAGCGCCTCCTGCGGGAAGTTCAAGATAGTCGCCATCGGGTGGTGGGGCTTTGTCACATCCTCGCTCGTGTTGAAACCACCAGTCTGTTTTCGTGAGCATATATTGAGGATTGACGGGTAAGTTGTTGTTCCAATCCTCTCTTCCTGGAAGTCCCTATAAAATAACATAAATCTGAAAAAAACAAATTTTCCACAATAAATTAGTTCTTGTTTACATACTTTCATACAGTACATGCCTTTGGACCAGGCTGCTTGATGAGCTGCAAGAAAGCGAATTATGAGTTAATATTTTTTTATATTTGGAGGAGGTACATGATTTTAGTTTTAAGAAGTCAAATTAATAAAGTAAACAATGTGAAGATATGAAGTACCTTTAGCAGTGGAGGCCAGTGCACATAGTAGTGCAGATACGTAGATGGCTTTCAAAAGCATTGGGAATGAAAACGGTTTAATTATGAAGAAAATGCAGCAATGTTCTCATATTTATCCGTGTACATGACGAAATGTTTTTGTGCTATGGGAAAAAATGACAGATTGAGAAGTTTGCTTTCCTTTGAGAACACACCTATTTGCTTCTTTCCATCTGTCTCCACTCCCAAACAAATTTACGTAGGTTATAGAAAGTAGACGGATATTTCTAGTATTTCGTTCTTGCTTGCTTGCGAAACTGAAGACTCAGATAAATCAAAAGACCATGTAAGAAATAGAAAAATAAATGTTAAACAGGCTATGCGCTTGATGAAGGTATAGTAAGATATCTTCGAACACTGCAGCCGACTAGCCGAATCCACTAGACCGGGTGGCTTCCAGCTCTAATATAATACTAGTTTAGTGATGGATATTCATTGGTGTGCGAAAAATTTCCCTCTCTGTATTAGAAAAACTCTTAAAACCTTTTGATCTTCGCAAAAGGAATCTCGAAACGAAGCATTTGCTTTTACATATTGCTTTCCATCCTCGCTTTGCTGAACTAAAGTAATAAACGTAGTTTGCTTCATATGCCTTTTGCCATTTCTCATGAAACGGAACGTTGGACTATCGAAGATTTTTAGATAGATCTTTGTAGAAATCGACAAACTTTTTAATTAAAAACCGATAGAATACGATAGTTTTGAAGTCCCATGGAAAACTGCTGAAAGCTTGCTTCAAGAGTTCTTCCTTAACATATTTAGGCGATAGTTTTTACGGCTTTACTTGAACTGCCGCTTCATTCCTTCACGGCGGCACCGCGACTGAGTGCATTTAGGATCCTCAGACATCTACTGCAGATTGTAGATTATGCGATATCTCGTACAAACGAGAAAGAACCAAGGTGTCTTCTTTCGCTACACATCTCTTTCGATTTGACCGCAGTTCCGTGTATTCTGATGATCAGACTGTTTGTGTTTTTCACAAACAAGAACAGAAATAGACTGACTTTACCACTGAGATAGAAAACATACCACATTGGTAGATGTCTCAAAAAGAAGAAACATATTGTCTATAGTCGCAATTTCAAGGAGAGAACGAAAACATAATAAAACCCGTAAGAAAGAAATGCACATGTACCACTAGTTAAATAGACAAGTCTTCGTTATGTGTTTGATTTTTTGTCTTCGTTTTAGAGTATGTGAATTTTTGTTCTTCAGACGTTTGGCTTACGAGTATACGCTAATTCCGTCACTTTTAATTCGAGAAAGACGCCATGTTATTTGAAGACTCCCAAATGCTTCTGATGTAGAGTTTTTATGTCTCTGGTGAAATATTCAGCGTGTTAACTTAAAAGTCTGATGGGAAATAATCAATATTTTATAATTAGCGGCGAGAATACTAACAAGCGAGTTGCGTAACGCAGTAATACTGGAATGTTTGTGACAAGCTCAATTTATTATGATACACATGTAAGTGGAAGCCTTCAGCTGAGTTGATTGATTATCTCTAGAAATATGGCACAATGATGTTTTGGCTGCCATTTATTAGTCTAAAACTAGAATAGATGTCTTTGACGCAGAATTCAACACTAATCACGAATATCGCCAAAGAAATTAGAAACAATAAAGTTTTTGATGAAAACATCAGTTTCGTTAATCACCGAACCGTATTATGCATTTTTCAAATTCAGTTGCACCATTATTTTTATAAAATGACTGTTTATAAAAGTAAAAATATTTTCTTTTGGAATTTGTACTAGACTGTAGTTAACTTGCCGAGATACGACTTATAAAAAATCCTGAGAGATGTGGTTTGTTTTGACAGGCGACAGGAAACTTTTATCAAAAAGGTTAGGTTTTCACGGTTAAGCGTTAGTGCACTTGAGAGACAACGGCTGAACATTGTGTTCATTACTTACTTTGACTTCTTTTCTGTCCTCTATCAGTGCTATAACCGTATTTTGAGGATCAAGAACGAAATCAGCTAGTAGTTTTATCTACATTTTTATATCAACGAATCGTGTGAATCGCAAGTAAACGTTACTTGGATGAGAGTAACTTTATTTGGAATTAGAATTTATTTAGTACTATCGGTTAAAGTCCCCATCTGATGAATCCGAGTTTCGGTCAATCACAGTTTTGTCTCCAGCTGGTGTTGGCTCATGATGAAATATACGCAAATGATCTGGATTGTTGATTTCGCGACATTGTCGACCATATTCACACCGGAATTTGTGTGTGATTCGACATTTGTCATGCGATTCTGACGTTGAATGTTCATGTTTCTTTGATGAGAGACCTTAAAGTTAAGATTTAGAGTAAAAGTATATGCATGATGAATTACTACTAACTTCGATACATCTTTACAGCGGTTTTTATCTCGACGTGGAATCAAATAATCGGGTAAATTAGAATGCCTGAATTCTCTTCGATGAACAGGATCAACCACATCGTGACAATCTTCACCATATTTACACTGTGTAACGTCATGGTTTTTGTGTGTAAATTGTGTACAGTGATCTGAATCTTTTATTTCTCGGCATAACTCCGAATAACGACATGGATGAGAATATTTTTTATTATGTGAGTGAGGGTCCGAGTACTGCAATGGACATTCGAATGAATCATGATATGGGGATAATGGTGACCGATGTTTTTCTTTATCTCCATCTTTGTCTGCATCCCTATCTCTGCTATCGTCATCAGTGTTGGTGATTCTCTTAAAAAGATTGACGACACTTTTCATCAAAGTTTTTTCTTTCTCTTTTGCGCTAGGTCCCGGTGTTGGTGAAAGTTTTCGATCGTGAGATGTACCATCAGTAGATTTTTTTTCTTTCCACGTGGTGACGGCGGGGTATACGATATCTGATTTGTTCTTGTTTTGAATTCTTTGTCGAAAGATACATGAAGTTCAGAGATCATTTCATATTTGACTATTAAGTTTTCGAAAGCAACTGTTTCCATTCCGGCACTCAAGTATATGTATTCAAGATATTTCAAATTTAAATCGCGCTTGTCAAAGGTACAGCGTAGTTGAGACTGATTGTATATACCATTAGAACCGACAAGTACTAATGAAACTTCCCCTGTCTGACAAAGGATTAGTAAACAATATGTAATAAAATCATCTATATTCCAGCCTTTCTGAAATGACATTATGACTGTTTTCCATCTTTTTTTTGGACACATGCATTATGCAGCGACGGCTGTAATGCACCAATATAACTGAGCTGATGTTCACCCATCGGCGCCACATAACACGTCAAATATTTTAACTCGTGAGTTTGTGCAAAATCACCGCTCATTTTTGATGCAGTTTAACTAGTAAAATTTTTAATTTCCAAGATAAATAAATTTTAAATAGTAACATTTATGAAAAACTTTACATTCAAACACCTGTATATATTATATAAGCAATCACATAATACGGTGGACGATTTT